ATCAATCAAAAAAAAAAAAAAAAAAAAGGATGTGTTTTGAGTCTGGTTAGGATTCGAACCTGCGTGCCCTGCTGTATTTTTGAGAATTGGGCCGCGGCTGGTCTGACGACTGCAACGACGGCGCAGTCCAGGCCAGGCCAGGCCCGTGAGATCAATCGGATAGGATTTGGATTGTACGATAGGTGGTTTGTCGGGATGTACGATTCTTTAGCTTGTAGGTACATAGGAAGGGACTATAAGAATAATGATTGCGTGACTATCTGTCTTTTGGGTCCGACGCAAGTGAAAACCTGCTGTTTCCGGAGATGGTTGGTTAGTCAACGGCGGAGGAGGGATGGTGGAAGGAAGGACTGGAGATAGGGAGACGAGAGGTGGTAATCCCCCTGATGAGGATCGCGTGGCTGCGATCGAAACCGGTCGGGGAGCCATATCCCAACCGGCATGCAATCAAGTACACGTGTGCTTGTGTACATTGTACATGAATATACATCATCTTTTGACACTGTATCCTGTGTTGATTGAGTTGTATTTTCTCACCTTTTCAGTAAACTACTGAAGGCACGTGTGAACCACCTCGGAAGACGCCGAGTGAGAGTGAGCACGCTTGTGAGTTGTCAGAGTTATCGATACTATGGAATTACCTGTGGGAAGAAGGGATTAGAGTTACCGGGGTGTGTCCTTTACGAGTTAATCCTTCGACGAAAGAGCGGTACCTAATAGTGTTACTGTGGGGTCGAAACTGGAGCGGTGATTCGGACATCCTGTGCCTGTAACACGTCATGGGGTCGAATTATCGCGATTCAGGACGAGAAAGTCGTCGGGAGCGGGGAAGTGACTGGGGAAGAGAGCAAGGAAGATACGAGTTCGGGCGTGACCGCTATGGCGATGGAAGACGGGAACGATCCCTGGAGCGAGGTAGTTCAAGTCACGGTGTCCAGAGGGAGGCCCCGCAGCGATTTACACCAGTGTGTTACGAATGCGGTGAGCCCGGGCACTATCGAAACCAATGTCCCAAGCTGGGAAGGGACGGAGGCCATAGACCAGGAGGCCAGCGAGGGCGGTCTACGTCACCGCGGCAGTTCACACGTCAGCCCGAACCTCGTGCCATGACCGAAGATCCGGCGATGACACGCAAACTGGAGGATCTTGCGGCCTCTATGGCAGCCATGAAAGAAGTGATCGAGGCGGAGAATGCGGCAAAGGAAGAGAAGCGGAAAAGGAAGACCGAGAAGTTGGAACGTAAGCGACTGAAGGAGGAGGAAGCGTGGTTGGCAGAGGAGGCGCGACTTGCAGAACAGAAGCGGTTAGCACGTAAGGAGGAGAAGTTAAGAAAGGAGGAGGAAGCTCGCGAAAACATGAGAAAGGAGTTGTTGATGGAGATTTCAATCCGCATGGGACAACTAGACGAATCGTTACAGCAACGGTATGAACGAGATTTGCGTGAAAAAATGAAGGGCAAGCAGCAAGTGGTCGAGTACTCGTCCGATGAGGAATCTGTTGATTCACACGGGAGTGATGTGGACGCTTTGAGTCGCAAGACCGAGCAATTGGTGATATCGGAGAAACGTAAGTGGGGAGCCGACCTGCCTATTGACGACAGCCCACCTATGGAGACACCGGCAAAGCGTGTAGCGAAGCGTCGCCTTCAGCTAGGATGTCGTCACCAGCCCCTCAAGAAGTCACCTCCTTATAAAACACCGTTGACAAGCAGGAAGAAGATCCCGGCTGCCCCGGGGTCCGTGGGTAAGTTGAGGTTCATTACCGACAATCTGCGACAGCTGGGCAACATGAATGTTGACGAGCTCAAGAGGATCTGCATAGCTGAGGGTGTGGAATATGAAGGTAAGAAGATGCAAGCGATACTCGCTCTTGCAGAGAAGCGGACTGTAGTGGCATATGGGGAAGAGGAGGGCCGAGTAGGGGAAGAGAACGCAGGGGAGATCAGGAAGGGCGGCGAGGAAGAAGAGCCGGACGCAGCGAGTGCAGAAAACTGAACTACAAGTAGACTTTGGGTTTTGTGTGGATGTCTGATCGATTTCCGTCGCGAGCATGTGGATGATGTTACTGTCGAACGATTGTACAGACAGGTCGTGATTTCTCTTGCTCTTCGGAATCAAATTCGTTGGTTGCTTAAGTGCGTGGATGCATGCGTTAATCTGTATATACAGTATGGGATTAGTTGTTTCACCACTGACAGTTCTGGAATCTATATTCTTACCTCTCCGAAATGTCGTGCCCAATATGTGGGGCAGACGAGTCGTGACTATCAGACACGTTGGAGGGAGCACATCTCGGTGTGCAATCGAGGTAGGAAGAACAATCATCTGTATAGATGGTGGAGGGTATTCGGATACGAGTCATATGTACTGATCCCGATCGATAGATGCACGCAATCTGACCTGACACTGATTGAGGAAATTTACATCAGACGGTGGTGCCCGACTTTGAATACGACAGGTAAAACTAAGGTTGGCAAATGAGGAGGACGAAGGAGGAAAGGGCGACATGAGAGGGATAGGGATGGAAGGGCTCACGCTGTGAGTACGGGCCCAGCAACCGTCGCGCCGGTTAGAGTTAGAACTACTGAGGAGGTTGATTGGTGTGCGAATGTTTTCCAAGCGTTAGCAACTAACGAGCAGGCGGGAAAGCGGAAGTTTGTGTTGTATGTTGAAGGGGGCAACTGTTGGGTTGGAAGATGGAAGTGGATCCGTTCAAGTTTCGGTCAGACGGAGGGTAGGATTAAAGGTGAGCGGCGAAAGTTGTACAAGAGTAAGCGGGATTTGGAACAGGGAGTGAAATTGGATATTCTTCATTTGCGACGATGGAAGCCGAAGATTAATAAGGATAAGAAGTTCCTTATCTCGATTCTTCGTAAAAAGGATAGATGGGTAGTTTTGCGGAAGTGCAATCTCAATGCCTTAATTAGGCTGATGGGTGCTGCGCAAGATTTCCAGAAGGCAGCTACTACAGCGAATTTGAGGAGAGTTATTAGGCGGGTCCTTAAGGAAGTGTTTGGATGGACTTTGAGCTCAAACATTCTTATTAAATTGCGATTTGATGATAGAATCCGGGTTGCAACAGTCAGGAAACTATTGAATGATCAAATTGAGGCGATGGTGGTTCCAGACTGTTTGAAGATACATGCACGGCGTGGCGCGCGCATCGTATGGGTTAAAAACCCATCCGTGGCAAGCCTTATCCACAATCAACGGAGTTATTCTCGCGTTGATGTGGTAACCTACTCATGTGCAGGATTTCCCTATCCAAGGATAGGTGGTCACATGCAGTTTCGGTTGCAGGAACTGGAGGGCATTCATCCGCTCCTCTGTAATGCTAATAATGTTCTGAAGCTTTCGCATCCGGATCGTGGAGGACTGTTACTACAAGAGATCAAGCAGGGCCTGGAAGGATGGGTAAATTGGCGAGGTGGGAAAGTGACCATTGGGAGAGCCGAAGTGGAGGCGTGTCTGAGTGTGAAGGAGGATACCGTGTCGAAGTACCTAGACATGGGGACCGTATGCAGACTGAAGAAGCAGCTCGAAGGGCTCGTACTTACACCATTGGACCGGAACCCGGGGGAGACCCTCGCACTATGTCCCAGGAAGTACTATGAAGCCATGTTGCAACTGTTTGTTACGAGTGTGGGTTACAGGGTGATCAGAGAGCCGGAAGCGGTGGTGATGGAAGCTATGCGGTGTGAGGTGTTTGACGCGGGCCTGACGAAGCTTGCACAATGGGATAAGAAAGGGAAGTTTGGAGAAGCCTATGTCATGCCTAAACATAAGGACCTGACACGGTTTCGGCCAATCTGTCCCACATATTCAGAACCTACGGTGAGAGGCTGCAGGATTGTCGCAAAAGCTCTCAATCATCTGTTGTTCTCACTTCCACAGGATTGGCATTTCAATCTTCGGTCAGTAGGTTCCTTAGTCCCGCGATTGGACTCGATTAATTCAAAGATGGCAAGTAGAGTGGGGATCAGCTCGGACATATCCTTAATGTCATACGACATTAAGGATATGTTTAGTAAGCTGCCCCACCAGGAAATCGAAGAGGCTGTGGACTGGTTAATACACTACCATCAGACGAAGGGACGCAGTTTTGTTCGGGTGAATTCGAGTGGCAGAGGTTGTTCCTTTGGTAGGACTACAGGGGACGACCATTGGCGCTTTGTACCTTTGCAGCAGGTTCTTAGCTTCGTGCAATTCGAGTTGAGGCACACCTACACAAGGGCCACCGGTGTGTTGTTGAGGCAAACAGTGGGGATACCAATGGGAAAAAGTACTAGTCCCCCACTGGCTTGCATTCTCTGTGCTTTCGCAGAATACAAGTTTCTTCGAAGTTTGGGATCCTGTAGAAGAGGTGTTTGGCATCTGTCTGATGGATGACGTGAGTCTGATTGTCCTCAAACGAAGGCGTAGTTCGATGAAGGTGGAACGGATTCGGGAACTCTTCGAGGTACGTTATCCTGAAAATCTGCAATTAAAGAGAACAGATGATGACTCTGGTTCCTGGGATTTCCTCGGTACTCAGATGCATGTTAACGCGCTGCAACCGTTTGTTACGTGCTGCCAAGTAGCAAAAAACGAACGCACTATTTGGCAAGGGGATGCCTTGGAATTCAAGAACGGGCAGTCATTCCGTTCCTGGGGATGTAAGCAGCAGAAGGGCGCAGTGATTACGTGCCACCTTCATCGAATTGATCGGAACACAAACGACCGAACCTGCATTCCGAGGCAGGTTCTCAGCCTGGTTCGGGAACTTCGACTGAAGGATTTCCCGGCCAAGACAGTGGAGAGGACACTCAAGCGCTTTGCTAAGGGAAGAGATTGGATTTGGAATTGGACTGTGCTCTGGTTAAACCCGCCATAACCAAGGCCGGCTGAACCATTTCGGGTTTGCGAAAACAGGGTATCCGCGGGAACAGGGTCCATTGTTTTGCTATCGTTGACTTTTTTTTGTGTTTTCCATTTTGTTTTTTGTTTACCACTGTTTTTTTGTTTTTCGTTTCGCAACAGGTTGACTGCGGTGACAGGGACCTCGGTAATCTGAAACAGGTTGTCTGGGACGATAGGGTCCGCTGTACATCTGAAACAGGTTGTATGTGATGACAGGGTCCTCCGTAGTTGTGTATGTGATGACAGGGTCCTCTGTATTGGCGTATGTCTGTTTTTCCAATGGTTCTTTTTCGTTCTCTTGTTCAATTTCGTTTTCTTTTCCTTTGTTTTATTGTTTTATTGTTTGGCTTGAAAAGGATCTGTAGGAACAGTACCTGTAGCTTTGGAGTCGAACCGGTCTAAGGTTGTAAGGGTCAACCGCAGCAGGACTGAGGACTAAAAAAATTGAGGGCCTGTATATTGCGCAGGTCAAGCGGGAAATTGAGGTAAGCAGGTTATGTGGAGGGTCAGTACACGAGGGACCCTGGCGGGATTCGAACCTGTGTGGCCTGCTGTATTTTTGAGAATTGGGCCGCGGCTGGTCTGACGACTGCAACGACGGCGCAGTCCAGGCCAGGCCAGGCCCGTGAGGTCAATCGGATAGGATTTGGATTGTACGATAGGTGGTTTGTCGGGATGTACAACTCTTTAGCTTGTAGGTACATAGGAAGGGACTATAAGAATAATGATTGCGTGACTATCTGTCTTTTGGGTCCGACGCAAGTGACAACCTGCTGTTTCCGGAGATGGTTGGTTAGTCAACGGCGGAGGAGGGATGGTGGAAGGAAGGACTGGAGGTAGGGAGACGAGAGGTGGTAATCCCCTGATGAGGATCGCGTGGCTGCGATTGAAACCGGTCAGGGAGCCATATCCCAACCGGCATGCAATCAAGTACATGTGCGCTTGTGTACATTGTACATGAATATACATCATCTTTTGACACTGTATCCTGTGTTGATTGAGTTGTATTTTGTCAACTTTTCAGTAAACTACTAAACTAAACTAGGTTTTTGATTTTTTAATAATAATTTAAATGCTCAAAAAAAAAAAGGGGATGTAGAGTGCAAAAAAATCTACACCCCCATATTTTTTGTTTTTTTTTTTACATTATTTTTTGCCTGTGAAAAAAAAATTTGCGGGTTGCGTTGTGCTGCGTTCTAACGCGGTATAGCGTGGCGTTGTAATGGGGTGTGGCATTGTAACGGGGGTTCAACGGGAAACCCCCATTGAATCGAATTTTGGACACATAGTATTTTGAGTTCGTAAACGCAGAAAAAACAGGCAGTCTGCAACTTTGTCATGGCCTGAGTTCGAAAAGGCGGTTGTAACTCAGGCTGGCAGTGGTGTCAGGGTGGCAGTTTCTTTAAGGCGGTTGTGTTTTTTTTTTTTTTTTTTGGGGGCATCAGTTTAGATGTCCATGTGGCCACGGCGGCTATGTCTA